GTTCAATAAAATTGTTAATCCGATGTTTGGTTAAACAATGGATTCATTATTTTAAACTTGACTATTAGTTAAGATAGGATACATAATCCAACGGATTCGTAATCTTAGAACTATTAGTCATGGGAATGTTAATCCAGTCCGTCCAAACAAACATGCCCTAAAAGTACTACTAGTGATGTGACAATGGATAAGGCTCACTGCTTGTGTCTTGTTTATTTTATTTTATTTTATTTTATTTAAAGTACTTTAAATCACATGAAATAATTCATATTTTAAATAAATTTCGGATGTGTATTTACAATTTATCCATTTGTTTAACTACCTAAAAAAAATAACTCAACATGTTTTATCCATAATTTTTTTTTTTTTTTTGGGTTAATATAATGATGGGGTCCACAAGATGTGTTGACCACTGCTAATGTAATTAGTCTTTTTTTAAAAAAAATTAATAATAAATAAATAATAACAAAAGAACAAATTTTAATAGATAAATAAATAAACAATAATGATAATAATTAAAATTCACATAAACCATTCTCACCTCTACCACAACTGTTACAACACCCATCTCCACCCTCTATCATACCCCCTCATCCCCACCTATTTCTTTGTTTGTGGGAGTGATTGCGATCCATGCTCTGGCATGCATATAGAATCTATACAAGTACACAATTTTGGGTGTATGATATCTTCATTTCTGGTTTTAGATTTCTTGTGGTAGAAGAGATGAAGAAGGCATCAAAGAGGCTAAGGGGCAGCGGCTAGAGGGTGATGAGAAGGAGAGAGGGAAGCTAAGGGTTGCATTTGGAGGCTTTTCTCAAACTACCCTCTTATACTAATTTATTTTCTAAACTCTAGTTTGGAAACTCTCATTTTTAATCAAAAAGTCAAAAAAAAATTAAATTAGTCAAAAAATCATCAATTCATACTAAAAAGTCAAAAATTCTCTTTTCTCTCTACTTTTTACATATTTTTTCGTAAAAAGTAAAAAAGTTATCACAAACATACTACTTTTTTTTAACTTATATTTTAGTCAAATAGCTAAAAAGTTACTAAATTAACCTGTTACCAAATGAGGCCTAAGCCTACTTTTGCAAAATTTCTCAATCTAAACTGAAGCGTTTTTACAAAACACGTTTTTAGTATTTTTGTGGTCTAGACAGACAAAATAAACAAAATCATAAAAACGTGTTTAAAAAACGCACTTTTAATTAAAATAGTGCAATTATAAAAAGCCATAATAAACTGACTTAGGCCCCGTTTGGTAACAGGCTAATTTAGGCCTCGTTTAGGGAGTGGCTATTTTAGCCAAAAAGTCAAAAAGTCAACTAAAACTAGTCACATCACCTCTCTACTTTTCTGCACATCTTTTCGTAAAAAGTCAAAAAATTACTAAAATATCCTGTATCCAAACGAGGCCTTAGTAACTTTTTGACTATTTGGTTAAAATATGAGTTAAAAAAACTAGTATGTTTGGGTTGACTTTTTGACTTTTTACGAAAAGATGTGTAAAAAATAGAGAGAAAAAAAAATCTTTAAATTTTTGGTATAAATCTTGAAAATAATTAGTTCATTATATTCAATTTATAATATTTTGCACTACACTATTGATTTAAATTACTACGTAAATAATACCACATAATATTCCCAAAGTATCAAATAACTACTTATTGTGAACAATATAATAAATCATTAACAAAAGACATATTAAAAAAAAACATTTTATATATGACGACGACAACACACACACACACACACACACACACACACACACACACACACCACCAACACAAGAAATTATTCAATGCTCCTCCACCAACTCCTACTTTGACATATATTAGGGGTTGTTCAAATCAAATTAGGCACTGCTTGGGTGGTGGCTTTTTTGTTAGAAAAATTAAAAAGTAAAAATATTTAATCATATTATTTTTTTATATATTTTTTCATAAAAAATAAAGAATTAATTAAAATAATTACTTCTCAAACACCCTCTTAATAAATAAAAAAAAAAGTAAAAAATCATTACAAAAATTAAAAAACTAAAAAATAATTTTAAAAAATAAAAAAATTCTTATCATTTTCTCTACTTTTTGCACGTGTTTTTCATAATAAAAAAATCTAAAAATTATTCTCAAACTTTTATTTTTTTACCTCCTTTTAATTAAGATCTAAAAAAAAAAATTACCAAAAAATTTAAACATTTTTTTAATTAAAATATGAGAATAAATTTTTTTTTTAAATTTTTTTTTTAATCGCTTATAATTTTTTTTAATTAAATTTTAATTAAAAATTTTTTGGGTGAGAATAATTCTAAAAAATCAATAAATTTTAAAAAAAAATGGCTTCTCTCCGGTTGAAATTTCAACTGGATCAAACAGTTGAGAATTTGTTTAAATTTTTGGGTAATTTTTTTAAAATTTTAATTAAACTATGAGGTAAAAAAATAAAAGTTTTGAGAATAATTTTTAGATTTTTTTATTATGAAAAAACGTGCAAAAAATAGAGAAAATGAAGAATTTTTTGATTTTTTAAAAATTATTTTTTAGTTTTTTATTTTTGTAATGATTTTTTACTTTTTTTTATTTTTTAAAAGGGTGTTTGAGAAGTAATTATTTTAATTATTTTTTTATTTTTTATAAAAAAATATATAAATAAATAATATGATTCAATATTTTTACTTTTAAATTTTTCTAACAAAAAAGCCACCACCCAAGCAGTGCCTAATTTGACTTGAATAACCCTTAATATATGTCAAAGTAGGAGTTGGTGGAGGAGCATTGAATAATTTCTTGTGTTGGTAGTGTGCGCGCGCGCGCGCGGGAGTTGACATCGAACATAAAAGTGAGATAACGCCAGCGGGGCCAACTACTTGTTTGGTAGAATTGTGAGAAAACACTTATAATTTATGTCTTAACAGTTTATATCTTATAATTATGAATATAATTTAATTTTTGACTTATAAATTAAGTATCTCCTATCCAACTCAAAGAATAAGCTGATTTCTGACTTATAAAAAGTTATAAGCTGTATTGTTAAGCTAAACCCATTAAAATAGCTTAAATTAAGCTGAAAACTGAAATAAGCAGCTTTTAAGCTGCACCAAACAGGCACTACATCTCGAATTTAATTAAACTTGAAAGCGTGTTTTCAAAACACGATTTCTAAATCAGGATCCACACACTTTTTGTAATCGTGCAATTTTAAGTAAAAGCGCGTTTTCTAAACATATTTTTATGATTTTATTTATTTTGTAATCGCGCGATCTTAATTAAAAGTGCGTTTTCTAAACACTTTTATGATTTTGTTTATTTTGTCAGCATGGACCACAAAAATACTGAAAGCGTGTTTTGTAAAAACCCTTCAGCTTAGATTGGGAAATTTCGCAAAAGTAGACTTAGTTTGATAAATAAATTAGTATAAAGGCTTAGTTTGAAAAAAGTCTCTTGCATTTGAGTAAATTGTTATACTTAAAGAAATATATATATATATATATAATAGTTTACAGAGTCCCATGCAAGACACGGACTATTATTACAGTATGTTTAAATTTTGTATTTTGATAATTTTTTTAAAATTAAAATATTGTTCTATAAAATTGAATAGAATAAATCATTAAATATATGATAAAATTATGTGATATGATACGTATTATTTTTTGGTTTGTTATACACTCAATGATGTCGACTCTAATTCTATTACCATATCATTTTGGGTAAATTTATGAGTTTTCAACATTTCTTCCGAATTAAAAAAAAAAAAAATTATGGTGTATAGCTTTTCTCAACAGATAAATATAAAACAAATACTAAGTTAATTCTCTCATCTAAAAAAAACGATTAAGATAAGTCACTGAACTAATAAAGAAATAGTAGAAAATACACACACACATATACATATATATATACAAATGACTAATTTTATTAATACATAAATCATACTCGTATAACAAATTATCAGTTTTATTAATAAGTAAATCATTAAGTAAATAACAATTTTTAATAATATGAAAAATATTTTCCAGTTAACCATTTTGTTAATAAATAAATCATTAAGTCAATTAACAATGTTTAATGATATGAAAAATATTTTTCAATAAACAATTTTGATAATTTATTATTACATAGGAGAATATTTTTTTTTCCCTTGAGTATTGTGTTAAATTAGAATTTATAACAAACGATAGTTGTAATTTCTAGTACTATAGGAGTAATTCATATTTTAAACAAACTTTATTGGTGTATTTGTAATTTGTTAAAAAATAAAAGATTTATATTTCATAATTGACCAAGAATGTTTGCGTAATTACAAAAAAAACTTATAGCATAATTGATCAAGAATGTTGGTGTAATTACAGAAAAAAAATGCATCAACATATAAGCCACCATTAGTAAATTATTCAAAATGAAAGGACAGAATCAAAAAAAAAAATTAGGTTTTAAAAACAAATCTCGAACAGTTAAACAGTTCTTATATATATAGATATATATAGTTCATATTAACCTAACGATGTGAATGTACATGTTACATGAATATTAAATTTAAGGAAGCGGAATATAATTATATTCAAATTGTAACATTTATTGTATATTTTTCAAATTTTAAGAAATGTCAATATAATTTATTCAAAATACTTTTTTCAAAGTGATGATGTATATCATTTATCATCATCCTATCAATCCCACAATCCTCATCTCTGCCCTTGTCCCCTACACTGTCATCAAATGAATGAATGTGTTTTTTTAAGGTCATATCATGCCGAGCATCTTTTTCCGCAAAGCACAAAATTTCTTCAGACTATCCAATAAAACTAAATTTCCCAACAACTATCACTCAATTAGGGCCTATATATGCCATTTTTTTCTCTCTAATTCACAGGATTAAAAATAGACCATTGCATGACAAAAGAATTTGACACTTTCATCAAATGATTGACAAAATATTAAATGTGTTTTTAGCCTATTTAGGGTTTGATGTTCTTCTTCTTCTTCTTTTGAAATCTCTAATATGATTTCCCCTATCATATATCATGTATGTCTTATAGCTGCTCCACATTATGCATAGAGGAGCTACTATGTATTCATTCAATCTGCTAGTTGATAAAGAATGTTGCGTTACAAGAGGAATAGGGATAATTGGAGCCAACATACATTTGAAGGGGAAAAAACAAACCTGTAAAATGCATGGATCCTCTTTTGAGTGTTAAATTTCAGAATTATATCCCCTTCTGAACAGCAGCAATAAGTAGTACAACTAAGATGGGAGAAGCAAGAAAAATAATATATGGGAGGGCTTGATTCAGTGCACTTTCTTCAACTTCAGCATCTTTCAAACCGTGGTTGGCTTTATCTTCAATAAATGCTTCAAAATAATCTTGGTAACCGGTGTTTATTGGAGAAAGAGTTGTGCTCTTCATTTTCATCATTTCCATGGCCTGCAAATCAATCCGACTGACTTTCAGTTCAAAGTGTCACCAAGATGGCTATGCATGGAAGAAGAAGAAGAAAGCGATCCATGCTAAAATGCATAACAAATTGAGCAAGGACCCTAAAACGATTACTGCATTATGGCATTTTTTAATGCAAGTGTTGTCTTAATTTTGAATTCGAAACTTACCATATAAGATCGGCCAGTATTCAGCAGCAAGTAGCAAGTAAAACAGTTCTTCAATCCTCAATATTTTTTATTTTTATTAATTCTCATCGTATCTCAAATCCAAATGCAAGAAGTATGTCAGACATGTTTCAATGTTCAAGTATTGACATCCATGTCTTGATCCGTTTTGTTTTGAGTTCATCACATTACGACACACCTCACACATACTCCTGGTAATACAATTCCCTTCTTATCAAATAGTTATAGATCTATGCATACATAAACAACCTCCAATCCCAAGAAGTTACCTGGAAAGCAAATAAGAATTGCTTTGCTTTCTTGCTCACTTCAACATTTGGGTGGGACTGAAGCTTCTCATACATGACTCGAGCCTCATTGGGCCTATCAAAAATTTCCATAGTTAAATACTTAGTCCAGTAAATGAAGAACATAAATCTAGTAACTTTGAAATAAAATTTGCAAGCCTTGCCAAAAATTTTCATTAAACATATATTCTAACTTATTTGATATGTTATTTTTCTTTGTGATTCTTATTTTCCTATAAGTAATCTAACTTATCTCATCTCATACATTTGATTCATTAACAATAGTCGACAGTTCAATGTGGATATATGAAAGAGAACCAGCACACAGCCTAAATATGAGAGCAGGTTAATTCTTAGAACTCTAACGGCGAAGGATAAACATATAAAACTGCGTTTGTGACCACAAAAAAATTGCAAATTTGCTAACCATATACGAGTCTCTATCTTGCGAAAACCATTTGTTCATTTTACTTTACCACATGACTAATTGTATTTGTACAGGAAGTTTTGAAAGTTGCAGGTAAAGAACATGGATACTTTTCTGAAAGAGAAACACAAGGAGTTCAAAAACACTACGTTATTTCAAGTAATCCAATCACTTAACTACAAAACTACATTATTCAGTGAAAAATCAATTCTATAAGAGGAAAGTGGAAGACAATATTGTGCTATGGAAATTACAAATTGAGCAAGGATAAGAGACATAAAACAGAAACAAAAAGTTGTTTCCTCATAGTGAAGTTAGGACTAATAACTTTTAGCCATCAATTTTCCAAAGATGAGTTTCTTCCGTGATGCAGTGTGTTGTCAAATCGACAAAAACACTACCAGTTCCAATCTGTCGTAAGATTTTGACGTTCTCATTTTGCATCCTATGTTTTTTACACAATCAAAAATAGCATAGACAATTGTCTCGATAATTAAAATTTACGTACAAATATAAACTTCCTGGGTCCCCTAATGTATGGTTACACAGGATTTGGTAGAATCGTAAATACTATTTAATGGTCATAATCCAAGTGTTATATAAAGTGGGAATTTTATTATTACAGTTCCATTCTTCCATTTTTAGACTCCAATTTGTACATTGACATATCAACTATAGCGTCTTGCGTCTTAAACCCCGACTTGTATATGTTAATTGGTACTCGTTATCTAGTACTTGTATTGTTTCCAGACTCATGGTGTAATGATAGGATTTGACCTTCAATTATTATAATTGAGATATTCTAGATGTTTAGAACCTTGATGAAGGTGTTAGCACAAGTGATTTAGCTGTCTTATCGGTGCCAACCTAGTTAGGATCGGTTAGCATAACCATGATGTTGGCTGCACCCATCTTTTTTTATACTTTATTGATGTAATGATCTCATTGTACATTTGATTGTCACAAATAAAGTTTCTTTTTGCTGATATAAAAATAAAAATATATATATATATATAAAAAGATAGCTAGGCAAGATTGGATCAAAAACTCCAAATTCAGATATTTATTTTTGAGTAGTCTTCACTCTTTTGCCTTTTTTCTCTCTTCACACTTTGAATTTTAATGTGAGGCTAGAACCATTGAAAAGCTCACTTTTGGGGCTTCGATTTAGATACAAGAACGACCCAAAACGGAGTTGGACGAGGGAGTTATGTTTATTCAAAGTTTGGACACCAAAATTGTTAGCATAGTTCGCTCGAGCACACTTTTGACCGCTCGAGCAGTCCGTAGACCTAGACAGCTCTGCTTTTCAAAAATAGAGATCCTACAAGCACTCAATCGCCACTCGAGCGCACATTTGACCGCTCATGCGGTCTGTTCGACTTTGGTGCATGAAAAAATGAGTTCGTAGTCAGAGTTGTGGGGCCAAAGCTACTTAAAAAAAAAAAAAAAAAAAAAGGCTACTTTTACGGTTGTACTATAACTCTACATATTTTCATACCACTCTTTCTTTATCTATTTCCTCTCCATCTCTCTCTTCTCTCTACATTCTTTCTCTCTACCATTAAACCCTCCATTAAAGCTTGGATTTAACCACCTTAGAGAGAGAATCGATCTCCGACCCAAGGTATAATGTTGGAGAGCTCGTCAAGGGCAACATTTCCATCCGAGCCAAAAGTCCATCCAACCCTTTTTCCATTTTCGGACTTCTCCTCTTCTCCATTTGAGGTAGGGTTTCCTTTCATTGGATTAATATGGGTTTATGGGTGTTTGTGTGGTATTTTTGATAGAGAATTTTTGAATTATTGGTAGAAATTTTGGAAAGGCATGATTAGGGTTTATAAATTGGTTAGGTTTTTCTCTATATTTTTACTGTCAAATCTATTTTCTTTGTATAATATTGCATGAGGGTGTTTTAATCTAGAAAGCCCCAATTTTATGAAAACCCTAATTTGTAAAATTGCATAATTTAGGAAAGTTACATTCTTGTGTTAAAATTGAAGATAATTGTTTATGATTATTGAAATTATATCATTGTTAGAGATAATTGTATTGGCCATTGGTGGAGAATGGCATTGTCGTAGACCTAGCCAAGTTGGCCTCCATAACTCTCTTAAGGGCTTAGTTCCAAAAGAGAGGTCATGAATTCAACTCTCCCTAAGGGGAGTTGAATTATGAGGCAAGCACTTGGTGCTTTGCAAGAGTGGGGAGGCTAACTCCCATTGATGCTAATCTAACAACTAATAGCTGACTTTCACTAATGAAAAAAAAAAAAAAGTTGACAGAAACCCATGTCCATTGCAACCTTTGGTTTAGTTTGGGTACAGTCGGGTTCTGTGCACACAGTTTTGCAAAGTTGGGGAGGGTTGGGAGGAGGCGTCAAAAGGCTTGGATGCTTGCCTCTCATTGTTTAATGTGGTGGCTTGGTTGGAACACAACAAGCGGGTGTTTCAAGGGGTGTCTCATTCCATTCCTTAGTTAGAAAGGCAGCTTCTTACAATGTTTGGGTGACGAGTTTAGTATATCCGGATGTGTTGGCTTTTGTAGATTTTGTGAAAGATTTGATTTGTTAGTCTTGTTGGGCTTTTGAGGCCGTTTCCTTTTCGTATTCTTTGTATCATCCTGATACTTTCTCAATAAAACTTCGTTATTTATCCCAAAAAAAATCATGAAAATGAAAAACCCGTTGTTGAACGGAGGTGCATGAAGCACATTTTATGAAAATTGAATACTTGCATGTGTTGCATTGATTACATTAAGGTATTATGGTTTTAATTGAATAATGGTGGTGGATCCGGATCATGGACAGATGAGGTTGGGGATAATGTGGCTCAATAGTTCATGGTGAAAGACCAAAAACCCATGCGATGTAGGTGCCAAGGTCCTTCCAGTTAGAAACCAGTAAATTTAGTGGTGTTTAAGTGACGCTTAGCGATGGTCACCAACAGAGTGTAGCTTTAGATAGCTTACTAGATTAGGCGGTGCTCAGCGATAACCACTAGCAGATACATGTACTTGAGAGGATACACCAGATTTGGTTTCAATTTTCGGAATTCAATTTTCTGAAAATTGAGATTTTTGTTTTTCATGTTTTTTTTTTTGTTTTTAGTGAATATTTTTAAAATTTTAAGGAATTTTTTTTTTTACTTTTTTAGATGCACCTTACTTAGATGTATCTAAAAAGTAAAATATTTGTAAAAAAATATATTAAAAAATTAATAAATACACAAGAATACGAAAAATATACTGAATTTTCATTTTTTTTTTTTTTTGTATTTTTGATATTTAGTAAAATTTTCAAAGATTTTTTTCACAAACATTATACTTTCTAAGTGTATTTATGTTAGGTGTGTCTAAAAATTAAAAAAAAAATTACTTAAAATATTTTTTAAAAAAATCAGTAAAAATAAAAAAAAACACGGAAAACAAAAAATTTCAATTTTCTGAAAAGTGAATCCTGAGTTATAAAATCAAATAAGCTGAATGAAATTAAGAAACGATAACTTAACGAGAACATTTGGCTTTGGTCATTGGAGTTGATATAAATCCTTTTTATGAAATGAGAAACTGTTTGAGCATATTATACATGCGTAGCATCATGATCATGTACATGTATAGAAACGTATTATCTTGTAAAACACTACCCTACTGGACTATATGTTCATCTTATGTGGCTGAAATTTTTTTCAGGTGTTGATGGCGTGCCCCGACCTTGAGGCAAGGCATAGGATATGTGCATGAGCTATGGAGAGCTCTTTGAACTGTAGGCCTTGGGCCCTTTTTGTATAAACCAAGTGCCATCTTTTGTAAGCGTTGTACCCTTTTATTTGATGTAAGTCTAAGGGCATTTTAATTACATTTTTCTGTTATTGCTTTTGAATTGCATACTACATATTCACTCCACCTAGATGTTGAATATAGGATGTATGTGTAGACACCCCATTTTTGACCGTCCTCAAGACTTGGACGTCACCGTTTGATCACTCGGTGATCATCCATGTTCGTGTTCGTCTTTAGTTCTCAGAGGTCCCGGCCACGCGCCTTGCCTCAAGACCTCTCGACTTGCCTGTTTCGTGTTTGGTTTTGCACCAAACACTTGTGTTTTGCTTTTGAGGAGCAGGGAATGGCTTGTTGGCCATCCCCACATCTCACCGGCCATGGCTTGAGGCCACCGGCCATTGTTTTGTTGCCATCGGCCAAATGTTTGGTCGGTCGGCACTCTGTTTGGTCGTTCGACCATTTATTTGGTTAATTTGGCATTTTTTGCTGGCCGACCACTGTGCATCTGCTTTTGGCAGATATTTTGTGTCAGCTGTGATAGCTGGCACCCGCTTTGCACCCCCTCCATACACGTGCATGGAGGGATTTCACTCTTGCTTGGCTTGTTTTGTAAGCTTTGCAAGAGTGAATCTCTATAAGAGGAGGCCTTCTCCTCCCTTCTCAAGGGTTCCAGAAGTTCAAGAGAGAGCTCTGAGATTAGGGTTTGCATAGTGTATCTATCTATCTCTATATCTCCCTCTCCTTTTGCCTTTGTGTGTTTTTGTTCTTATTTTTGTGCACAAACACCTAGTTCTACACCTTACCTTGGTTGCTGAGGAGCCAATAGGTTGGTCTTGAAGTTTTGGAGCTGGTTTGGACCTAAGGAAGCAGCTGGAGTGCTCTTCTTGAAGAAAGTCTTCAAGGGTAAGAACTTTGCCCCTTTATTCCCCATTTTTGCATAGTCTTTTAACCTACCTTGCATCTGTTTTTAGACTTTGTGTATAACTAATAAAAGTCTTGTTTTTGAGTGCTCTAAATAGTTGTTTAAGGTCACTTTGTTGTTTGAGGTTGTTTGACCCCTCTTAGGCCTTGTTTGGTCCCCATTTTGTGCATTTTATGGTGTTTTAAGGTCCTAAGAAGGAGAGGGCATCCCCTCTTCTTGTTGCCTTCAATGTTGGCGATTTTAGCCTCATGTGTGAGCATCTCGTTTAAGTGCATGTTGGCCATGTCTTAGCTAGTATTTGTGCTTATTTTGCGATGATATAGCACTGTTTTAAGTTAGTTTAGATACACCATGCATGCTTTGCACACTTGTCTTGTAATGCCATGAAATTGCCTTAACATGCACCTAGTATTTAGACCATTATGCTTACTTGTTTTGGCTTAGCTTTGTGAAGCTTTTATGCATGTTTTGATGTGCTTGAGGTCTGTTTTTGGTTGTTTGGGTCATCCATTGCTTGCTTTGTATAGCTACCATGCAATCTCCCTTGTAGACCTTGAGTGTTGACCCCTCTAGCATGCTTTACTTGCTTTGCTTCAGTGGTTTGGAACCACTTATCATGTCATTTCAGTCCTTATAGCATGCTTGTATGCTTGCATTTGATGTTTTTTTAATGCTTTAAAACGTTGGTGTTTCATGCTCCATGTTTTCCATTGTGTATGCTTCTAGGAGTAGATCATTTAGATGCCATCTAAGTGGTTTTTGGGGCTTACTTTGGCATGATTTAGGACTGTTTTGATTCACTTTAGTCATTTGCTTCACGTGTCACATGACCATAGTTTAAGTCCTTGGGCTTGGTTGCATGCCTTGCTTGCATTGGTAGGTTGATTTGGCATCATCTCCTACATCTTTTCAAAACTTATCATGTATGCTATTTGTCCATGTTAAGTGTGTTTAAAAGTCCCCTCTTTGTGCCTAAGTGTTGGACCATGTTTGCATGCATGTTTGTATGCGCATTTGCCCCTCATTTCCTTGGCATTTGGCCACTGTTTTGGGCTTATTTGAGAGCTGCCCAAACTAGTTTAAGACCATCATCTGCACGTTGTTGCATGTTCGCCTTGTGTGTTGTTGTATGCTTGGCCTATCGCATGTTGTTGCATGCTTGAAACAATTTGTATTTGGCATGCATTCTCTTGGTTAAGTTGCCTAACATGTTGTCACATGTCTTGCATACTTATATGTCCACATTGCATCTTGTATGCTTGTCATTAGCATAGTTGTTTCATGCCTTGCATGCTTGTTTGCTTAGGTTGCATACCTGTTGCATGCCTATTGCATGTTTGTCCACATGTTCATGTTGCATACTTAGGTCACATGCCTAGGTTGCATTTTGCATGCATGCCTTGCCTCTTAAATCACCATAGTAGAGGTTGGGTCCCTTGTTTGTTTTGTGTGCATTACATTTGACATTAAAATGCATACCTTGGCCACTTTGGCCATCACGCATTGAAATGTGCGATTGGTTGCCCGAGGGTCAAGTCCCAAACTCCTTTGAGTCATAAACATGATAAGGAGTGTGGTGGTGTAGACATTTGCTTGAAAATGCATTGCCATGCCATGTTTGCCCTCTGCTGCTGCCAAAACAGGATTCTGCAGACAAAGATGGCCGGTCGACTGCATCAAGTGCCGATCGACCAATGATGGATGGCCGAGAGCTCAATAGATGGTCGATGACCATAATTCCATGGCCGGTGATGTTTCCCCTTGGTCGGTGGCATCCCACAGTGTTTAGGGAGTGTTCCAGAACCAACCTTGGGACTTTTGCAATTTTCAGAGGCATAAAGCAGTGTAAACAGAGGCAACATGAGCATGGCGTTGGATTTCTGAGCGAAGCCGAGCATGTGTGCATTTGACCCTCTTCCCGAGGCTGTTTTATTACTTTCTTAACTTAATTAATTTTGTTTAATTAGTTAAGTGGTTATGTAATATTTAATTAGCTTGTTAGTTAATTAACTTGTATTATTCTTTTGGTCCCTCCGGGCGAGGGCAATTCTGTAATAAGTGTGGGTGTGTGTGTGCATGTCTTCCAACCCCCATTTCTTTCTCCCTTTTACTTTCCTGCTTTTGATGGTTAGTACTAGGGCATATTAATTTAGCATACCTTATGCTATGCATGCGTGCATTCATTCATCAGTATTGCATGCACCGGGCTCGGCGCATCATACTAACTGCATTGTATTTCAATTCCAAGTTGAATATGTGTTAGTTGTAGCATCATCATATGCCATCTTAGAATAGTCGAGCCTATTGTAGTTGCATCTTGCATGTATTGCATTAGCCATCTTAACATGAACTAGGATCATACATATGAATATTAACTAATTTCTGTTTTGGCTTGGAGTACTCGGTAAGCATTTATGTATTAGCATCTTGTATGAGTGTAAGTGTTAACATGACAGCATGCTTACCATGTGGTTATATGCTTATGTGATATATCTGCCTGAATGCCTGTGGGTAAAGGTTGGATTGTTTGAATTGGAACAACTCGTCGAAATCCATGTTTTAGCCTACTTGCGAGTAGCAAATTTCAAACCGATTTCCAAACAAATGGATATGCAATGTTTTGTTCCAGATTAGGCGATCTAGTCTATACTTTTGTGTTGTGCTCATCACATAGTAAGATTAGGCTAATAACCGGTTTAAGAACACATAACGTTTTCAAAACTAGATATCATGGTTAGTAGAGGCCGATCATTGGATCGGGCGAGCGGGGGTGCTCATAGCTGACCTTCCCCAATCGTACCCAAGTTCCCGAGCCGAGGCAATTTTGGTGATGACGGACACGTGGCCTTAGGGAACGAGTCAGGATTTCCTAAATTTCTCCAAAATAAAATATTTAGGTGGCAACTCTATATCTGGCAAAGCAGTCCATGTTTGGCACTTCTTTCTAAAAAATATGTTTTCCACAACGATTTGCCGGATTTGGACTCTTTGGTGATTTATCAATCTCACATTGCACATTGTGAGATCAGATTAAGAACCGACACACAAATCGAGTCCGAACTGTAGCATAGGGCCCAAGGGCGCGTCTACAGTATGCAATTGGAGAACCTCATGTATTGAATGATATTGATATACCCATATATATGAGAGAAGCCTTTTGATTCAAGAAACAAAAAAAAAAAAAAAAAAAAGCCCATACCAAGTTTAGGTCCAATCTTTCACATAACAACATCCAGCAAACTCAACCTTTTTACACGTTACGTAAGGCAATCAATAGTATACCCAACCCTACTGCACGTCTACTAGGAACTCCCTTCCACTTTAGTACCATCCATCCATTTTCATTGCCTATCCAATCTTTCAAATCTAACTCAGTTTCTCATAGTAGTTTCAGTGACTTACGTTAGTCTTAGAAATTCCAGTAGTTTAGCTACCCAACATAATTTATCAATGTTGTAATATTAACAGCCATTTTCTTCCCTGATAATTTTCGTGCTCACTTCCATATTCAAGAAATTCCTAACCTAATTATCATCTTTTACTGCATACTTGTACGTTCATTTTTTCATACAAAAAATAAAAAATAAAAAACTATTTAACCTTTTTTCTGTGAGTTGTATTTTGCAGGTTGGAATACTCTCAAATGCATAGAAACATAAACATTGAAAAGCATAATCACAAGGGTCAATGAAAGCATTATGCTCCTATGACTTGTCACTGTTGTAAATGGCTTTCATAAAAATTTCATTGAACAATACCCAGACCATTGCTTTCAGTGAACATGAACATGTGTAACAAATTTGCAGCTGTTTACATGATCAATTAAGATTTAGTCAAGTCAGATCAAGCGAATTGGCAAGATTTAAAAAGTGTTAGGAACAAATGCCTCATTTTAGCAGGTAAAACACAACATGCTAATATCCACAATATTCTAAAACAGATGGCAAATTTAGTGTATGCTCTGTACCATTTCTGGGAGAGAGTTTCCTTTTACATAAGCAGAAATAATGAAAAAATAAAAATACATTATAATAAATAAAAAAAAATTTGCATGTCTTTTGACAGAAAACAGGAAGCATCTTTGATGTTTCTAGAAAACCATATTAGCTCAATTTTCTGAAAACATTCCAAAAAAGTCAGTCCATGCTGATTCTTAGCCATTTTTCTTCATTTCTGACTTCATGGAATAGAGAATTGTTCTTGAATAAGTGAACTAAACAATTCCATAATTTTATTGAAAATTTACACAAGAATTTTTGAGTAAAAATTTTATACCTACTGAGTGAGTCTTGACAAATAGACCACTGCAAAGCAGCTAATCCATGAAGTTCACTCTGCATAAACAAATAATACAAATGAAATTCAATATAAAAATTAATAAGAATAGAAATATAATTCCAGCTACCCTCTGCACTGGAAAATAGAAAACTAATTAAATGCCAAGCACCCCCATTACCTCTTCTTTTTTTTTTCCCCCCTTCTGGTAGATAGTAGTAATTTTTTTCCGTTCTGATAGAAAGTAGTAAACAATGCCGGCAGAGGTGAAACTCTAAGAAGCATCTTTAATGTAGAGCATGCAAACATCCAGCAGTTGTTACAAAGATATTGGACCTCTATCTTGCATAAAAATACATGGTATGAAAGGCAACCATCTGTTATCAGAAATTACTCATTTGACATCAATCCTCAACTAAATACTTGAGGGCAATACTGAGATTTTAGTTGGATATATCCCTCAGCTAATAAGGAGAGCAAAGAGAGGGGATGTGACACAGCAATACTTTAGATAACACTTTATCCTCCATAAGTACATTATACAAATCTTTGAGGGACTTTGTTATTTAGCCATCATATTTAACATTTAGCTTTCCTATTGACTTTTTATCATTCTATATACAATTTTATTTATCCTTCATTACTTCTATTCTGTGTTACACGAACACTTCTATTTCCCTCAAAGTACATGTGTCCACCAAATATGAAAAGGGTTTCGGGTTTGAATGTGTCCAACACCCGTACCCAATTTAGACAATTGGATCCTTTAACTTTTCATAATGTTTGAAGAATAAGAAACTCACATTTGCTATAAACGAAACATTTATGACATGTAACATAGATGCGATGAGAGATAAAAATTCCATATTTTCCTAAATCCTATTTAATTTTAGGTATATTTTTACATAATTTACATCATCTTATTTAAGAATATTATATAATATATGTAATATACAAGTGTCCATAACAAGTCCCCAATACCATATCCTATTATAAAGACATCCTAATATCCTAAGATTTAAGTCTGTGAAGGTCTGACACTTGCTCACACACCCGTATCCAACACTCATACCTAAGTCTATGTAACATAGCTTCTACTTGGTAGAGTGAAAGTTTTAAGGAAAAGAAAAATACTAATAAGAATAAAAGAAAAGGCAGAAGTTACGTACTCCCAAGTCACAACTAAGCTTGTATCAAAATGATCTAATCAGACTACCAACAAAAAAAAAAAAACCCTTCACTTCCATTATAGTTTCAAAGAGAATGAGCTTGCTCTTACACATTATAAGGCCACGGTGACCCAATATTAGCATTATGATACAATTTCAGTGTCTCACAAGCTGCTAACAAATTGTATTCTCCTTGAATATCTTGCTAGAATGATATAGAACATACATTCCTTCCCATGAATCTGTTATGGACTTTTTGGTGGAAAGAGTTCAAGTTGTTATAAATCATTCTTTATTGTTAGTCCCTTGTACACTTCAAATCTACAATCACCCTTTAGCTATTTCTCATAGAGAAATAGAGATGAGAAGACTGAAATAATAGATTGAAAAAAAAAGAGAGAAAGGGAGAGACACAGAAAGTGAGAGAAATTTGTTGGCAGGTAGGGCTTGGGTTGCTTAGCTTCCGAATAAAGCTGTTGAATACCTTCAAAACCAAGCCCTACAAACTAGATTATGGAGCTCGAGGGAAAATGTCTTATGTTGATCTTTATAGAGGACCCAAGCAAGAAAATTTTGAATTCCCCATCCAAATGTTCCCAAATTCTACAACTTATATTTCTCATAAAGGTATATCTTAATTGGCTACAACTTTAACAAAATTGTAAATTATAATAGAATCATATAAACATCAATTTCATTTGCGTTTTTTTAGTTCCAAAATTTTATCCATATTTCTAGCTTTAATTAGAAAAGAAAAAGAAGAAAACTTCACAAAATAACTAATTACACCAGCAAATGTTAACCCTGTAATTAGATTTTTATTTAAAATATGTAAAGGATAAGTTTCTTAAATATGCAGGCAGCTCAGATCATTCAAATATCGTAAGAAGAGCACCTGAAATGTCAACTTATCCATGACTTCTTCATAAAATGGTAATGCTTCTTTAAGCTTTCCAAGATCCATCAAGAAGTCACCATCCTTCAAAGCCTACAAATAACAATAGTATAATTAAGAGTAAGGTAATGCACTATAGTCCAACCATCAGGAAGTAAATAATTAAAGGTCCATATAAAAGTTGTGTGAGGACATCATCTTAAAAAATGAGAGAATTTATTTTTCTTACCAGGACTTCTCAGAGTTGCCATGTGGCTGGCAGAATTTTAGAAGCAAAAAATAGTTTAAAGTTTAAACATTAAAATTATCTAGAACAAATCTATATATCCATATATAAAAGTAGGCCATTGTTGTCGCGGTTGCAACATGTTCAAAGAAAGTTGGTAATAAATAACTAATGAAAGTAATTACTCCCTCCATCCCAAATTGTTGTTAGTCCATCCTTCCATTTTCGAAAGCCCCAAAATGTTGTCCCATTTTGATAAGTTAAAAGTATAAATTATACAAATTTCTAAAATTACCCTTTATAAAAGCATTCAAATGCTTTTAGAAGTAGAGAACAAAGTGGTAATTTTCCAAAATAATAACTTTTATTTTAATAACAATGATTTTAATGCATTTACCCTTATAAAGTTCGGGCTTCTAAGAGTGACACACAAGTTAAGACAGAGGGAGTACTCTTTAGATCCTTTAAGATAAAGCGAGAATTATGAATCTTGAGTATCTTTTTAGCTTCTTCAACTATTAACTCGCATATATGCATTTTCATAGGGTTTACATAAAGACCCCCTCAACTATTAGTGAATATCAACTTACCCCCCTCATTTATGAATTCATACATTTTGACCCCTTAAACTATAAAAATGCATCACTTCCACCCCTATGAAAATGTATGGATGTGACGCATTTTTATATTTGAAGGGGTCAAAATGTATGGATTCATAGATGAGGGGGATAAGGTGATATTCGCCAATAGCAGAGGGCATCTTGGTGTAATTAACCCTCTTGTAATAACTCTCTGAATTATATAATATATGCAATATATAAGTGTCCATAACGAGTCCCCAATACCATATCCTACTTTAAGACATCCTAATATCCTAAGATTTAAGTTTGTGAAGGTCTGACACTTGCTCACATGCCCGTATCCAACACTCATACCCAAGTCCATGTAACATAACTTCTATTTGGTAGAGTGAAAGTTTTAAGGAAAAGAAAAAAATTAATAAGAATAAAAGAAAAGGCAGAAGTTACGTACTCCCAAGTCACAACTAAGCTTGTATCAAAATGATCTAATCAGACTACCAACAAAAAAAAAAAAACCCTTCACTTCCATTATAGTTTCAAAGAGAATGAGCTTGCTCTTACACATTATAAGACCATGGTGACCCAATATTAGCATGATGATACAACTTCAGTGTCTCACAAGCTGATAACAGAGTGTATTCTCCTTGAATATCTTGCTAGAATGATATAGAACATACATTCCTTCCCATGAATCTGTTATGGACTTTTTGGTGGAAAGAGTTCAAGTTGTTATAAATCATTCTTTATTGTTAGTCCCTTGTACACTTCAAATCTACAATCACCCTTTAGCTATTTCTCATAGAGAAATAGAGATGAGAAGACTGAAATAATAGATTGAAAAAAAAAGAGAGAAAGGGAGAGACACAGAAAGTGAGAGAAATTTGTTGGCAGGTAGGGCTTGGGTTGCTTAGCTTCCGAATAAAGCTGTTGAATACCTTCAAAACCAAGCCCTACAAACTAGATTATGGAGCTCGAGGGAAAATGTCTTATGTTGATCTTTATAGAGGACCCAAGCAAGAAAATTTTGAATTCCCCATCCAAATGTTCCCAAATTCTACAACTTATATTTCTCATAAAGGTATATCTTAATTGGCTACAACTTTAACAAAATTGTAAATTATAATAGAATCATATAAACATCAATTTCATTTGCGTTTTTTTAGTTCCAAAATTTTATCCATATTTCTAGCTTTAATTAGAAAAGAAAAAGAAGAAAACTTCACAAAATAACTAATTACACCAGCAAATGTTAACCCTGTAATTAGATTTTTATTTAAAATATGTAAAGGATAAGTTTCTTAAATATGCAGGCAGCTCAGATCATTCAAATATCGTAAGAAGAGCACCTGAAATGTCAACTTATCCATGACTTCTTCATAAAATGGTAATGCTTCTTTAAGCTTTCCAAGATCCATCAAGAAGTCACCATCCTTCAAAGCCTACAAATAACAATAAACTTGAATACAATATTTTTCACTAGTGTCAAAGGAAAAAGCATAGGGACAAGTTGTGAATTGTTCTATTATTGTAATATAAATATATTGAACTTGATATTGAAATGAAATATTTGCAAGACCTATTAAAAATTTAAAAAGTAAACAAGCTACTATCTTAAATTAATACAAAATTCTTAAAGGTTAATATTTTGCATTAAAAAATTATATTGCGGTTTCTCAACGTTCTTTAGCTTATGTGTAACTCACTATTAATAATTTTAAAAAAAATATTTTTCACAAACGTGCCCTAGCCGTACTGGTATCCTATTTTTTTAGGTTTTGTCGTATCGCCATATCCATATCGTATCGTATCCGTATCTCGTATCCGTATCTATGCTTCCTAGATTATATATATTATATATTATAGATCTATATATAGGGTCAGGCTTTAAGCACTACTGGTCCTATCGATCTCACAAAAAATTTCAAGCCCTATAATTGGGCTAGGCTAATGGGCCAAGTAAGCTATTTGGCCAATAGCCACCCTACAACAAACACAAGAGATGGAGTCTTCACTTTTCCTTGAAAGGAATCATTTGGTTCCTTTAAATAACCAGAAAAAATAATCTATTAATATTCATCTATCCATAAACTTCTACAATGATTCTCCATTATTACCTTTAGTGCCTCTTTTATATTCAACCTATTATGTTTCAAGAGATAACAGAAACTAGGATATTTAGAAAGCAGATTTTGACTTTTCTTTCATGACTTACACAGAGAAGGTTCATGTGATACGAATCATACCTTCTTGCATTCAGATTTTAACTTTGGGTCAATGCTTAATCCAACTTTGCTCTTGTATGTGGCAAGAAGTTCTCTTGTACGCTCCTCTTTAGCAGATTTATCTTCTGATGTTTCCAGCACCTCCCCAGGGCGAATAACTCTTCCACCACCAAACTAAGCACAAGGAGTAAAAAGAGTGTGAAGGTTAGGATAGCAGGAGAAGGGGAGAACCAAAAAAAAAAAGATGAAATGAAAAGAGTAAAAATAATAATAAATCCTATAACGTTGATGGAATTAAAGTGTGATATGCCTCCTAATTAGGATCCCCGACATAATAGAGAGGATTCAGTTTTATGTACTCGTGACAGCAATGGTAAGGTTCAGCATTAACATTGTGTGGAGCCTTATCTGGCGTGAACATCAATTGGGAAATTATAGAATGTTTCCGGAGTACCACATGTCCGTACTCCTTGACCAATCATCATTCAATATGTCCCATCATATTCTTCAATCACCCAACACAATACCCCACCTACCCACCTTCTCCACCAATCACAATACTATAGATACCACGTGTACTTCAAGATTACTGAATAATTAGCCACATCAACTAGTCTTTTGGCATAATCTTGTATGGGTTCCCAAGCATATTCCTCGGCATGCTTTCATTCTATGGTTTGCAGCCAGAACAAGCTGCTGGATTATGGGAATCCAAATATCCAATCTCTGAGCTGTGTTTTTTGCCAATTGAACATTGAAGATCATGATCATCTTTTTTTCAATTGTTCCTTTACTGGGTGCATATGGAACCAGCTAGCTAGCAAATGTAACATTCAATGAGCAAGCCTGAAATGGGTGCATCTGGTCAAGTGGGGCAGAAACTCACTTGCGGGGAAATAAATTGATAGGCTTCATCCTATAGTGGTGCTTGCTTTCTGCAACCATATACATTCTATGGAAGGAACAGAATGCTAGATTGTTTCAAAAACAATTTCTGGGATGCTAGAACTATCATTGATGAGATAAAATGTGTATTAGAGGCAGATTGTGCACTCTTAAAGGTGTGATCATTAGCCAATTTAATACTTGGCTTCAGAAGGATTGGGGCTTACCATCTTCAATATTTGTTTGATCCCCTTTGCTGCGAGTGCAGTTTAGGCAAATGGATGCCTGGTTACTGCCTCTGTCGTCTTTTGTTGATTTGTTTACTATGTTTGAACCAGGACCTTTGAGTGGTTGCATGGAGATTTTCCGTTCTTTGCCTCTTGTGCATGGTTGGTGTTCGCTCCTCCAATTCTATTGCATTAGGTTTACTGCTTTATTGTATTTATTTTCTCTTTGATTAGTTTTGTGTCTTTGGCTTTGGATGGCTCATCCTAGTTGTATTGGCCTGGGGGGATGCTACTTGTATGATGTATTTTATTCAATTTTTATATTATTCTCTTTGGAAAAAAAAAAATAAATAAAAATAAAAACATATAAGAGTAATCAAAGATATAATATCATCAAACCAATCATTTTGCACCTCCAAAATTCATGATCCATTCTTCAGATATACTTATTGAAAAGTAGAGAGATCACATAAAACAGAAAACGAAAGCACGTTATGATTACTTGGTAAGTGCATGCCAAATAAGAAAAACATAATTCAGCACAAAGACAATTGTACATTGGCTTTCCTATGAAGAAATTATTCCATCATTTTTTTTTTTGATAAATAAAATTTATCGAAGAAAGAGAGTCAAGGAGATGCAAAAGTGTTAGAATTTACCAATTTACTCCTTCACCTACCACCTCCACTATCTCCACTAGCACCCACTTCACCTACCACCTCCACTACACTACACCTACTACCACCTTCTCTTCTATATATAGGAGTTGTAATACATAACACAATATCAATCAATCTTGTAATACATCAAGATATCCATCAATAATACAATTTATTCTCTTTCTCTCTCTATCAATATTACTAACAAAAAGAATACAAGAAGGAACCAAAAACAAAACAACTAGCCAAACACAATATCAAGGAAATCTAAAAATGTAAACAAATCAGGATCCACATGTCCTGAAACCTAACCACACAAAACTCGCAAAAATCTATCTTTTAACCAAAAAACTGAACAAGCAACACCATGGACAACACGCCAATTCTGTTCCAACCAAAGTAAGCATACCAAGCATAATGGAGCCAAAGCCCAAGCCCTGCAACGCCGCTTCCCAACCCGAACCCCGCTCCAATTTCGAAACACCTCCATCACCCCTCTCTGTTGCACCCACCCCACTCCGAAAGTAGAAAAAACAAGCCCCCACAAACGATGAGCAAACAAATCAGGATCCACGCGTCTTGAAACCCAATCACACAAAACTCGCAAAAATCTATCTTCTAACCAAGAAACTGAATGAGCAACACCATGGAAAACACGCCGATTCCGCTCCAACCACTAAAGGCTAAAGCTTGGGTCCTTGGAATAGAAAAACTATTGAAGTGTTTCCGTGCATTGAAGTACAAAAAGTCTTACTGGCCGCATTCACTCTAGAGGATGAGGCGAGAAGATGGTAGATGTTAATTCACGATGATAACAAGGAAATTGGATGGGCTCAATTTCTAGAGCTTTTCTATGAAAAATATTTTCCACAATGTATCCGGTAAAGGAAGGTATCCGAATTTGAGGGGTTAAAGCAAGGGAACAAGACAGTGGCAGGATATGAGATTCAATTCATTGAATTGGCATGCTTTACGCTGCATATGGTTGATACGGACTACAAAAAGGTTAGAAAATTTGAAGGAGGCCTTCGTGACTCGATTCTAGAAAGGATCAATGTACTCAAGTTACCAACATATGTTGATGTTTTGGATAGGGCACTCATGTCAGAAGCAAATATGGCCGCTCGTAAGCAAAATTTTGAATGGAGAGGCAAAAGACAGAACTTCAATACAAATTAGGGAGTAACGTCTTCAATGAACAAGAAGTCAAGATCAGAGACTTCTAGTAATTCAAGTTCAAATCCGAGCGGCAATTCAGTACCTACTTGCATTGTAAGTGGAAAGAAGCATCGGGTTGTTTGTTACCACACTATGGTGGCGTTTTATCAGTGTGCGAAAGTTGGTCACGTGACAAGAGATTGTACACAACCACGACAAGGCGGTAATCGAGGCATTACAAATTTGACTGGGTCGGTCCCAACAGTGAGATCAAATGCAACACCTACTGCACCAAGAAATTATCTAAGGCAAGGAAGAGTCTTCACAGTCATTCCAAGGGACACTCAGAACACAGAGGCAGTAGTTTCAGGTACACTTTCTATTTGTGGCCAAACTGCGTATGTATTGATTGATTCAAGTTGCACACACTCTTTTGTTTCTATGGTATTTGCTGATAAATTGAATAGACCTATGGAAACCTTAAGACACATATTGTGTGTTGCATCACCAACGGGAGGATCCATGTTGTGTTCATCTGTTTAGCCTACATGTGAATTATTGCTTGAGAATGCCACTTTATATGCTGATTTGTTACCCCTTGAAGTTGATATTAGAGGTAGTTTGGTCTTTATGTCTTATTCTTATTAGTATAAATAGTTGTGTGTAAAGGGGAAACCCTATGTTTTTGAATCAATAATATACAACAGTTGTTTCTCCCTCTCTCTTGCGGTCCTGCAACTTCTTCTTCTCCTTCTCATCTATACATTCAACATGGTATCAAAGCAATATCTTCCTCCTTGAAGATTGTTCCTCTCCTTCTTCTCTCGTTCTTGTATCCTGGTACGTTCTCAAAAGAAAAGAAAAAAAATTGCAGTATGCTCGAAAATTAATGGGTATACATCCTATAATCTCCTTTTGATTTTTTAGTTATTATTGATTGTGTTTTCTAATTTTTTTGTCAAAACTGGGTAATTTTTTTAAAGTCACCTTTTGAACCCTTTTTGATTGATTTTTTTCCCTCCCCATCACATCCTGGGGAGCCGACTGACCCTCTAGAGGGGTTTGTTGTCCCTGTTTTGATGTATTTTGGCCCCACCTTGGCTTTTTCCTAAGTTTTGGATGATCTGCTTCAGTGTTTGGGCTCCTAATTGATCTGGTTGCTTTATTCTGGGATTATTTTGCACTGTTTCAGCCTTATAAGGTGCTTTGCTTGCTGGTTAGGTGTTTTCAGGACTTGTTTGATATCCTGCCTGTGTTTCTGCACCATCCCTCTCTTATCTCATGGCTGAAGGCGAGGGTCAGTATTCTAAGGGCAAGGAGGAGAGTGGACTAAGTCGTGGTATGACTCTTGGTGTTAGAATTTACCTACACCTACCACCACCTACTACCACACCTACTACACCTACCACCAATTTACCCTCACCTACTCCTCACCTACTACCCAAACCCTCTCCTATATAATGAGCTACTCTGCTTTGTAATATAACACATCAAGACATCAATCAATAATACATAAATTCTTACACTTGGTGATAGTCCTTCTCTCCAGATTAGTTCAGTCAAGCTTAATGGCACCAATTACTTGATTTGGTCCCGCTCCTGCAGCCGCCCGGTATTTGACTGGCTATATTACCAGTAGTACCAAGTAACCTACTGAGGACAGTGCTTTATCTGCTCAATGGATTTCTAAGAATGCTTTAGCGATGACATGGCTAATCAATTCTATGGAACCTACTATTAGTAGGACTTTTCTCTTGATGGATACCGCTCACAAGATCTGGATAGCTACATCTCAGATGTATTCTCAATAGGGTAATGATGCACAGGCCTATGAATTGAGAAAGAAAATTAAGGGCTTAGATTAGAAGGATTGCTCCCTGTTAATCTACTATGCTGAGTTGAGTGGTTTATGGCAAGAACTAGATTACTACCAGAGTTTCCAGCCAGTTTGCTCCACGGATGCCACTATGTTTTAGCAGGCTGTGGAGAAGGAGTGGGTGTATGACTTTCTTGCTGGCCTAAATTTGGAGTATGATAAGATACAGGTTTAGGTGTTAGCTCGCTCTCTGTTTCCCACATTGCATAAGGCTTATGCACTGGTTTAGTAGGAGGAGTCGTAGTTCTATGGTGCATGTCCCTGTTCAGGATGGATCAGTGATGGTTGTCGCCCCCGAGTCACGTGATACTCCGCCTTGTCAGCCTCGGGGTGGAGGTAAGGGTCCATTGGTTAATCAGGACCGGTTGA